GTCTCCCAACTCGCTGCGCCATGCGTGAGTCTTGTCATGGGATTTCAACATGATTCAGTGGCGTTTCGTTATTCTCATAGGTATTTTCGTCGTTCGTTTGTTTTTCCTCGAGCATATAATATTGATTTCTCGTTTATCGTTATGATCGCCTCCATTATTCGAGGGTATTCAACGTCAACATAAAGCTGCTATATAGTTATGTATATCCTCTATATCTGACTATCCGCTCATCCGTTAGTACTGTTCAATAGTGTACGAACACTTTTACTTGCCGTCCACTATTCTTCAAGTGATCCATCAAGTCTCTGCAATTATTTGCGAAAGACAGCCCATCCTCAAAGCCTTTATCCTTTCAAACCAGTTTGGTGCACTTAACTGCCCTTCGGAGTATGGGAGGTTTTGTTGACTTAGGCATGATTCGACCAGGAGATCGTATGGTCATAGCCCCTTTCAAGTGTAACGTGTATCCTCTGTTATGAGCTTAGTTTTTCCGGAAGGTTCTGCCCCTAGGAAGCTCCCTAACAAGGTTTGGAATGTTCACCCATACAGAAAAGAGTTTTCCACACGACTTTATCTACCTCTCTCCATTTCAGCAATGCTCTGGTCACAATCCCGTGTTCACTTGCGAGTCTCTCCTGCTCCTCATCCTCTCACGTGCATATTTTATTCGCCCACAGTTAGTCGGCCTGGCTATGAATCATTCGAGCAATATAGTTGTGTCCTGTATGTCTCGCCACGCTCATCGTTCGCTCCTAAAGAGTCATTAGTTTCATGATCGACATTTCGGGCAATTGACTGTCCCCGTACGAGTATCCGTGTAAGGGAGGTGAACTAGTTTCTTTTGTTGAAAAAAGTAGTCGCCGTCAGTCCCGTCGGTACTTCACTCAAAGTGATGAAATGTCCTTTCAGCAGAACATTTATGAGTGCAATCTGACAGGAGAAAAAGTGGCGCTTAACGGCAGTTGAGACCCACATTCCGGTCTGAGGTGCAGCGTGTGGTGGGAGGATAGCTGGTTAGAAAGGGCCTGTGAATGTTCTCCCTCCACGTTCCCATCCTCCTCTCACGATTCCTCTTTCTAATCGAGTCCTTCAAGTGGCAGGCCAGACGTGATTTTTATGGGAGGTCGTGTTATGCAATTATCCTTCTGCAAGACGTCCTTCACTTTTTCTCTATTTTTTCTCCAAGTTTCTGACGGCGCCTCTCCCTGAACTTTCTGTGGTCGCTTCTCTTTTGTCGCTATCTACGCTTCTGAATATTATCACTTGAATATTAGTTACAACTTCTACGTTNAAGTTCAATGTTCATCGAATTCTGTACGAATGGATCTTTCCGTCTATCGCTGGCAGGACTAAAATTGCCGAGAAGGGAAGATGACCCATTGTTTCATGCCCCGTTGCTCGAACAGAACCATTGGAGGCCTTGCGGAACTATTCTTGCACTGCCATTAAATTCCAAGGGGGGTGACCAGTTCGCGGTGGATTTCGATCGCGTCTAAAAATCAGGGCTTTCTATGAGTCTGGAAATTCGGGCGTTTCTCTCTTTATGATGCCTCACATTATTATGAGATCACATGTGAGGGGTGGGTGAAGAAGCATTTCGCCTCCTGCTCATGTGAAGAATTTGAAGGAATAGCGGAATCAGTGTGTGGTGTACAAAGTAAAGTGTTCTTCTTGTCATGTGTGACGAAGAAACAACAAGATGTGGTAGAGGAGAACGGACAAGCACATGTGAGTCCTGCTTAGTCTTCAGTGCTACCCAAGCTTTGAGAAAGTGCAAACGGTACATCACCTTTCATTAAGTGCGGGACTAAGGTAGATGAAGGGAAAGAAAGAAAGGAAATCGCTGAAGATAAAACTTCATCAGCCACAGATTAGCAAAAAAAAGTCGGTGAAAGTGGCTTACGATTTATACCTATGTACACTACATATACTGTACGATGCGCGAACAAATGTGACGAACTGAAAACCAGTTTTTCTCGTTGTATAAAATGAGTGTGTAATATATATGAATTGAATTGTTTTTTTTCTATATACCCGTCCCGGTTGCCTCACAGGATTGGCAAAAAAGTTCAGTCTCGGACGGTACTCGAACCCATACTTGCGTTTTCTGGGCGCCGTGCTCTATTCCTTACACTACCGAGACCCCGCTGGCCCCCGCCTTACCGAAGTACAGGTTGGAATCCCGTCCGAAGCTGAAGTTTTGTCCATAAATCGTCAACCTTGTGGGGCTTAAAGTAAATAATAGCAGTTAGTAAAACATCAAGTCGAAATATTTTGATTGCGCTGGCGAATTTGATTTCCGCACAGAATTGCAGTGGCGTTTGAATGTGTATATTCATTGACTTGAGGAGGCTGGAGTTAGCGTCTATTGGTTAGGGTCCCATCTGAAGCGCTTCTTGGCAGGCCCCGAATGAATAAATAAAATAATATATATTGGCAGCTATCATATTAATTTAATGACTTGGTCTTCCAACGTGATATCTGTCAGGTTGAGGAGGGATCGCGTATTGTATTTGCTTGACCTGAAGAAGTGCTGTGATTGAAACGGCGCCAGCAAAAAACAAGAGTTTTGCACTTCCATTTGGTACAGCGAGGATCTGTACGATGACATCTGTCAAGGAAGGGCGATGTGAGGTCGTAACAGCATAAGTGCCCAACAACTAGAGCCGTAGCAAGGGACGGACCAAATTAGGTGTCAAAAAGTTCGTTGTTATCTTGGAATTTTCCATTGCACGAATAATCTTTTCGGGACCTTCCAGGCTGGTAAGCTCCTCCGCTAATCTTTTCTTTTTCCTTTGCCGCCAACAGGCCGTATCTGTCCCTTAGTTCCTCAGCAAAGTGTGTATTTATGTATATATTTTCTGCAGAGCCACGGCCTTATCTGGAAATATTTCGGATTCCTCACTGCTAATAACCCTGCATGTTGCATTCTCCATCATATTTTTATGCTCATTGACCTAGCAGGGTTCACCATGGTATGATTAGAGTGGTGGCCCTACATAGGACGCGTTTATAGGAGAGTTTTCATGGAAACAAAGTCCCTTCTGGTGCTGAATGATGACTTTCGAACAAAATGTAGTACCAGCACCTCACTTTTGATAAAACAACACATGGCTATGAATGGCTCCTGGGTCACACCGATATAACAACCTGCAAGAAAATCAGAATGAATAATTTTCATCCAAAACATTAATCTCAGCGGGCTACGTTCTGTGATATATGAATAGCCGGATTTTCAAGTACTGCAAAAAGTCAAAAATTTTGAGTAGATTTCTGTACATAATATTGTGTGTGTGGAGAAACTTCATACCTTTCGCTAGGTAAAAAGTTGCCTAGGAAAGGTCCGATTCCGATCCGATTTACTCGAATCAGGACTTTTCCGTTAGTGAACATAATGTGGCATCGTTGGAACAAGTCCATTGCGATACAGATTTTATAGCGTTCATTTTGAAGATGGTTATTAATAGTGAGTCAGAATGGGTCTCATCAACCGTGGCGAAATGCCGGTTTTCCAAGAAATAAAGGCGATACTGTAGTTTTATTGACACCAGCTTTCTAACCACCACCACTCCCACCCCCTCCTTACATCGTCCTGGTAAGGCGGTACCACGTGATGGTTTCGGAAACCGCCCTCTGGCCGCCCAGATTTTCTAGCATTTCCGTCCTTCGAAGGTCGATTAGCCTCCTTTACACCTGTCTCGGGATGAAAAACTCTCGACTTGGCCCTGCTAGCCCATGGATATGTGTGCGTGGGTCACACCCATTCAAGTATTTCTCAAAGAAAACCATATGCGTTTAAACTTCGGAGGGTTACTCGAAAGTGGACCTGGCTTATTTGACTTTTCTATCCATACCTGTTTCATTCAAGAGACTATTTCTATACTCTGCCGGAAAAAGTTTTCTCTTTCTCCGAGTTACAGTATTTCCCAATCTTTGTTATGGCAGATATCGTTAGTACATATGCACCCATCATTTTACGGCAATTTACACCATATGCTATGATTCAGGTGAAAGAAATGTAGTATTTTCCTTTCTATTTTCTCCTTTTCTCAAAAAATGGTTTGCAAGTAGTACTGGAAGGTTATCCTCATCGTCAGATCTCTCCACTGCCCACCATTCTTTGGGGAAAGGAAAAATACTGCAGTTCTTCCACCTTAGTTATAGTATATGGTATAGATTCCCGTAAAAGTGTTTTGTGGGACCTGGGAGGAAAGACATCTCTCGTAGTTCTTGAGGGGGTCAAGGGGGGATGACTGAGGTGAGGCGGCGGGTCTGTTGTTATTGAGAGACAAGGGCAGCATGCCAAAAGTAGGGTAGATGAATGGATAGAACGATTTTCATAATGTGATCACCTATGAATGGTTTTTACCCGGAGTGGTCTTAGGGACTGCTCTGGGAGGATCCATTTGAGATCATATAATCACCTCTATTTCACTTGGCAACACCTCTGCTCGGTGTTCATTTAGCTTCCGCCTGTGTGTTACCTTATTTTCACAATTTCGGTATTGTGTAAAATAGTGCCTGTTGACAACATGTTGTTTTCGATGTCTGTGATATCTCCGCAAACTCTGTCGTCTTGCGTTTATTTCTGAAGAGCTATGGCACAGCTGTCCAGTGGAGGCAGCCACGATCAGCTATTCGCCATGGATCAAGAGCATGCCATCCCATTTACCATCTGCTATTTCTCATGTATTATTACTTAATCTCGTTCTGAAATAGATAGCTCAAGACCTTGACAAAGAGTTTTATATCCGCATAAACTGTATTACCCTTCCATTCTTATTGACGATTTCAGCTCAGATAGGTTTTTCTGTTCAGATGGATTGGGTATCAGTTTATACACCGAATGGAATATCTTTTGTCATAATGCCTACTCTATTGCAATCATTCGCCACAGCGTCATTCTGTTCCCTCTGTCTGCTGTGCATCCTCTAACAATGTTGCTTTCAGTTGAAGTTGGATCTGCACCACAATCGTACAGGGTCATTGGGCGGCTCACCATGTACGCGGGTAACCCCATACTCGATGTGAGCCCCTTACACCTTTACTGGGAATCATGCGATAAAACGCGAACCATCTATGTTTGTTTACAGGAGATCAAGCAGGGATTCAAGTTGCGGCCAACGAAAACCGTTGACAAATCCAAACCGGTGATTGTAGCAGAAATAGATGATGCGGACTCGATTGCACCTACAAAACGAGCCCCCGCACCACCTGCTCCTTCACTTCAGGTGGATACGGTACGTATGTTCAAGTTTTCTTTTTTTTTTGATAGGGATTTCCCTTATTTTTTATCACNATTGAAAACGCTCAAATGCAATATATTGTTTTGGAGCTTAGTCTGTGTGGCCAATGTGTTAGAAGCTTTCTGCAAATCTTGAGTAGGGGACGCTATTGAGCATTTAAATTTGAGTATTCCTTTGCAAGAAATGGGAAAACTTTTGTGTTTTTAAAAGTTTTTCTGATTGTGGCGGTGCGTATTCGAATATTTTCTCTCTTCTGGAAGCAAAGTTCGTTTCACGAGGCATCGAATTTATGATATTTCCGAAGCATGAAGTCAGATTTTCAGGGTATGAGAGGAGAGTATTGAGCGAGTTACAATATCCATCCGTTTTCTGCAAACCAAATACCCTTCCTTACACTCATAGACGTCTTCTAGCTCCTAATACATCTTGCGGTGCAAAATTTTTCTTCTTGAAACACTCTGTTGCCATTTTGTTAAGATTTGGGCGAATCGTTACCTTTCAATGCTGAATCCATCGCTCATGGTTCACTTCACGTCCCTTTTACTTGCCCCTCAGCCCTACTGCTGCTAAAGCCACAACTTTGCAGGTGTCTGGTCTTGATACGCAGCACCGCACTATTACTGTACTAGTCGGGAGGTAAGTTAGACTGCTCAACTCCCTTACCCGTGCACCAAGACACTGAAATCGCTTGCTGTCCTGAATGGGTTCGAGGTGGACAAGCAATAGGGGAAGAGGTCGAAGGGGGCAGCAGTTAAGGTAGTAACCGGAAGATGTTTTGTAGCATCAAGTGACTTTTCCAATAAAATCCAGCCATAAGAGTTTGATTGCATTCCGTTGATTGGGAGGAAGAAGCGAATTTTTTATTATGGCATTACTGATCTGCGATCAGATTGTAGAAGAATTTCCGATGTGTAAGTGAAGTTTATGAGACCGTATTGCTTTTCTGGTTACGCTGTCCAAGTGTTTGCTCAAACTCCACTAATGTCAAATTAGTGGAATTAGGTAGAACCAACCTATTCGTTCGGACTAATTACTCCTGAACTGAACTGAAATCCTCTCAAGGTCAAAGTGGCAGCACAGAATGCACGTTTCACTTTTTTTGGTTCGGAGGAAATGAGTTTCGAACCTTAAAACCGTCCAATTACTTGCACTATGTCGTACGGTGCTAGACAAGCTGTAATCCCGATACAGGGGTCGAACACACGGGTAATGTAGGAAGGATACTTTCCATGGATAACATTGTCCGTTTGTATCCATTATTGCATCCCTGTACTTAGCCGAGACGGAACTCAAATTCATGGCGCTTTCCGGAATTGAGCTCCTTCTAGAACGGAATTAATCATCTCATAAAGCCTGGTCTCACGAAGCATTTGTTTGAATTGTTGAATTGAATCCAATCAAAAACAGAAAGGAATTCGATACTGCCATGATAGTTCTTTTTCTCTTCAAGGAACTAGGGCTTACAATGTATGCAGATAGTTGTTGGGACTCGAACGCCTACATAAGACCGCCGAAAATCCTTCAGGCCTCAGAACGGCTGAAAGATAATTAGGGTATTTCAAATCGTTCCTTTAAGGTACCATCCGAGCCAACAGGCGGAGTGAAAACTCCTCGAGCTTCACCTTCACCGAGGTCTTCACCGAAGCCTGGACCTAGCACAGCAACATTTTCCTCTTCTGCTCCAGTTCCTGGCGGCGGCCCACCACCACCACCTCCTCCGCCACCAGGAGCAGGCTTTATGCCACCACCTCCACCGCCGCCTCCAGGAGCACCTCCTCCACCACCACCTCCAGGAGCAGCTGCTCCAACATCCACTCCTGCGTCACAAAAAAGCCGCAAATCCCCTTCACCATTTCCACAATTGGGAGGAAAATCGCCGGCCGAAATAGATCTCGGCGAATTGCTGCACTCCATTCAAGTGAGTCATTTTGCTTCGACGGGTTTATGACCACCGAAGAATGAGTGCATAGAGTTTGTGTATTTTAGGGAGGAGTGCGCTTACGAAAAACAGTCACCAACGATAAAAGCGGTCTGATAGTGGACGAAAGTTTGAAGCAAAAAAGCGTTCAACTAATTGAACCAGCTCCATCAACTGCATATATTCCACCCAAGAAGGATCCTCCTAGAAGAGATTTCCAACGTCCCGTGTCGCCTCGGAACGCTTCCTATCTACAGGCAGATTTGTCAGATGATGAAAGGTCAGCATTTACTCGTTGACTGCTTTCACTCTATTCAGTGTGTACCATAAAGTCTGAATTTTGCTGCGTTTTTCTGGATTGTTCTGTGTTTCTCTCAGATTTTTGACTCCTACGGGTAGAGGCTCCGAGTACGGTACCCCCGAGCCCGATTCTCCTCGACTGGCACGGAAATCACCAGCCAGGGAGGAAAAGAAACCAGATGTTGCGTTCAGTGAGAAGAGTTTGAAAGTCACAAAGGAAGAGCTGGAGCAGGTAGTTTTTTGTATAAGATGTTCGCTATTTTTCACGCTTTGGAATCGCTGGCTATGTTCCCCATCATCGAGAGGAACCAATTATGTTCCATCTTTTCCGTTTGGTCACCCTAGGACCTACGGTACATAAGTAGGCTGCAGTGACCGACATAGGAAGTTTTCGGGCAAGTTTTTGAATGTAGTTGGGACTAAGTTAAATTATTGGATGTTCGGAAATCGGAAAAGTTTTTTCGCCACGTCAAAGAGGAGTAACTTTGAAGTTATGTGACGCTATTACGTCAGCTTGAACATTTCCAATTCCGTTAGAAGTGTGTTTGCCTTTGTGAACAAATAGCCCACCGGAGTGGAGATTAATTTTTTCAGTACAGTGGCCTTTTCGGGCGAAAATGTGGGGAGTTAATACCCGTTGCTCGGCCTCTTCGTTTGAGTATTTGATACAACTGTCTATCTCACTAGAAATTTTTTGGTTTCAGGTCGTTTCAAACTTTGACCAATTTATTCGGGAGAATCGTTGCAGAAGTCAAGTACGATTTATTTCAGGAGATTCCAACTGGAACAGCGGCCGCTCGGATCGCGAAATTCATGCAGAGCACAGGAGCAAACGATGCATCCAACGGTGGCGCCACGGTGCCGCGGAACTTCCGTCCGTCTCCTGTTCGATTCCCTATCACCAAAGAGGTGAGTAACACTGGCCACCGGTCACTTTTTGTGGGTAGACGGCATCGGAAGCTTACAAAGAGGAAGACGCTGATGAGAAGTAGTCATATAACGATAAAAGAACTTTAAGGCAACTAAATGCTTGCGGCTGCAGTTTCGGGGGCTTCGTTTATAGCCATAAGATGACGCATCCTTCCGTAGAGTTCCATCAAGGTCGCTCGGATCTAGAAAAAATACAAAAAAGTACAAAAATACATGCCTGGTCAAGTGGGGAAGCTTAAAAATTAGGAAGACGGGTTGGGAGCTGGAATACAAATGTTTTCTTTGATGGTACTTGTTTGCTATATGCTAACCCCTTTGACCAAAGAAAATTATAAGAATCAAGTCTTTGGCTTCCATCAATCCCGTTTTTGGAACTTCCATTCGGATCGTAATATCACTTTGATTTCATGTGGAGCCTATACATACAATGAATCCTGATGCCAGCTCATGTACAATTTAGTGCATTTATCTTCCCAACCAAGTCTGGTTCCAATAAACCGACCCAAGAGTGGATCGAATGTTAGTTTGACCTTGGTGAGTATCGATACGGGAGGATTCAATCCTCTGACTATGAGCGTGCTCAGCGTGCAGAAACGGCTCTGAAGCCTATACTGCCGGGCACAAATTCGAAGTAGAGTAGATAAGTAGCATCAGTTGGCCATACCTACCCAACCTTCTTAAAACCTATGTCCCAACATAGGCGCCAGAGCCTTTCAAATCACTGCGAACTTCTGCTCGCGCTTTGCCGCATCCATCCGGAATTGATCCGGAATTGGGTAAATGTACCCATACCCGTGTGGGACTAGTAACTTCTTGAAAGTAGGTGTTCTTGTCGACATGCTTGTAGATATCGCGTTTGCTCGATTCTGAATGAAGAAACTGAGCAAGTTTATGATCAGGGTCGAAAAGACAATTCGAATCCTGATTTTGTGTTAAATGTGGTACGCAACAATTGCGGTAGCTTTCTGATAACTAACCATTTTGCACTTATCATTTGGTCTGACAATACTTATCATTGAGTCATTCACCGAACTCGTTCTTTTCCAATACACATCTTTCCTGGACGATAAGATTAATTAACCCCGATTAGTTCAAAACTGCCAAAAACGGTAGAAAGCCGCATTTTTAAAGCAAAAGCCAACTAATTCATATTTGTATAGTATCAAATTCAACGTTTTAACCCCAACTTACTTTCATACATACATCTAGTTTGAATATTTCCCAATACGGAGTGGGCTTTCATAAATAGATGCTTGCAATGCTATTCCAACGATGAAATGAAAAGTGACCCCGTCTCTTTGATCCTTTGTGTGTGTAGGAGTGTATAAAGGGTGACCCAAAATAACCTGCGTAAATATCCAGCGTGTAAGAATGGCTCATAGGGCAATATATCGAGAATCGTGATTCTTCAGAAAACTTTTCGACGCAGTGTCATTAAAAAACAGCAGAGGGCAAAGGTGGTGTAGTGACAGGTCGCGCTCTATCGCACGCGCTGCCAATCCGGTATCGAATCCCGGATTGGTATTTGCTCAAGCCAATCAAGCTTTCCATCCAGTCGGGATCAAATACCTGCTACTATTGGTTGGAAATTCAAAAGCACTCACGTGTACATCACTGGCATTGTATGTATAGGCCACATACGAATTGAGCGTCACTAAGATTCTGAGTGAAAGCTCGATAAGGAACGCATCCCACAAAAAGATTGATCCACACGCAAATTCTTTATCATCCGTTTTCAAATCTGGGAATGCCGTTTCATGATCGAACACAGGTCCTTGGATGTGAAAAATGTCAGCCACCGCCGCACGGTCGTAGCACAAAAACTTCCGAACTGAGCAGGTCTATTTTAGGGCTTTGTATGATGCTGTTTAGAGTGAGCTTGGCTCTCTTGCCCCAGATAAGCGCATTAAGAGGGAGTCTACAGAATTTGATTCGAGCCTATATAACGGCTGATTTCGAGCGTTGTTTAACCCTGAGAAGTTTCTTTGCGCTACAAGCGCACTTGCACCCGAACTTCCACGGTCACAGGTGCGCGGCAGTGGTTCCGCCGTAATTGCCGTAAACATCCTATGAAAACTGAAATCTTGATCGCATAATGTGCGCTCCGACAAGAAGGGTGTGCGGCGAGCATGCCCTCTGGCTACAAAATCCTAACTCCTTCGCTCCACTGGTGTGTCACATTGAAACTATGTGCTGCTGCCGAGTTCTGCTGGAACACAGATGATCCGGTCATGAAGTGGCTTTTTGTCCGACCATTGAAAGTTTTTAGCATGCTTTCTCCGATGGAAACCAGTTAGGGCTTCTCTTCGTAAGCCACCTCTGCCCATGCTATAATTTCTGACATCATTTCCGGATTCTCCTCTTTTTGCCAGCTTCTTGAAGAGGGGAAGCAAAGACCTTGTCGCAACGCTATTTTACCCACTGGAGTTTGACTCCATCGTGAATAAGTTCCCATCGAAGAAGACACTACATTTCTCATTATTATCATTTACTGGAAAGGCGTCTCATGTGATGAACCCATAAGTTGTAAAACAGCAAACACAAATAACAAAAAGCAAACAAAACCATGGCAATATGCTGGAGCTGGAGCATGCTGATCGGCGCAAGCCGCATTTTTCATTCCTCAATTCGCACTCACTCCACAGACGAAGTGAAAGTATGAGCATGTCGGCAGTGATGTCTTAACCCTGATTTCTCCTTTCAAGTTTTGTGGAGAACTGCAGAGATCTTCATACGATGTCCTCACGTTTGGCTTCTTCACAGCCTTTTGACGACAAACTGTAGCGACCTTCTCGTATAACGTTATACCAGGTCTCGAACTTTCAACTTTCGTTCAACTTTCTTCTCAACGCTGCAGTTGGAAGTCTTCTTTCCCTGGGACCTTCTATTTTTTCGAGGCTGTTAATCTGTTTTATGATGTGCTAAACTTCTTCTCACTGCAAGGTTTCAACAACTGTTTATGCACTGCGGCCAAGCTTGTGTAACCAAATGATCGCAGTTCGAAGAGATTCTCAACCATTTTCAAGATAGTGAGCGCTCGTAATCATCATAGCTTACCTCGTAGAAGATCAGGGGATGCTCATCATTGAGTAATGAAAGCAAAAAGGTCACTTGGAGTGCCTTTCAAGAGCAGGTGATTCTACATTTCTGTCCCATTACTGTTGCAATTCAGCAAGCCCGTTCTGAACTGATTTTGACATCCGCAACCCGTTGCACCAAATTACCGCAATTGCTTACTTCACTAACGGTAACAATGGTATTCCTAATGGGAACCTACCCATGACAGAGTATAGAGTTGTTGCTAGTTGACTTTTTTGAATTTTGTTCCCATTTGATCACTCCAGTAATTGCCGTGAAACCTCACCTTTCCTTTTCTGATTCCAGTTATGGAAGTGGACTTAATATCAACACCGGCCCCTTTTGTAATGGAATTGGAATGGTCTGCTAGGGTGCGGCATTCCTCTGCAGCAAAAAAGAAGCAGTGAATAGCCGATTACAGCGAATTGTGAATCTGTAGAGATTGTTGGTATAGAGTGCAGGGTATAACCTTTGAACCTCCTCTGCTACCCAAAGGAAGTGAGCAATTCTCCCCGAAAACCGCGTCGGGTCGCCGCGCCCGGTCGCGCGTAGTTGCGCGCCATGAAGGGTAAGGTTTCGATTTGTATTGGAAGGATACGGTAGCCTCCGCCGTTTGCCGGTGGGAATTTGGGGAGAGGAACCACCGCCCGGTATGTGTACATACGGACAAACAAAAAGACTACCAATAAGCCGATTATAGCGTGTTAGGTATTTCTCTATTCCTTTATTGCTCGCTCGTCTCAACGCTGTGCCAGTAACAGGGAAAAGGCTACCGATTTGTGCGACATTTGGTTCGACAAATACATAAATACATGCATGTTTAGAATTGGTGGGAATAAAGTTCAAGCCGTATTTTGCACTTTTTTAGGTGAACAATAATGCTGGTGGTGTTAATAAGCCGAAAGCACCGTCAAAATGGGCTCCTGTCGAAACTGGAGGACTCAGACAACCAACTAGAGGTTTGGATGGTTTGGAACTTCTTGCGATTTTCCTTCTTCTTGTAATAGAACATAGAAGAACTGGAAAAAATGGAAGAATTGTTTTCAGGGTAGTCAGTGGGAAAGTAGGAGGGGAACTAATTCATTGAGGAAACCGCTCACGTGCTTCGACTTCTCACCATTAAAGTGTAACTAAAAGGGGTGAGAGAATCCTGGGATTGAGATCTTAGTAAGCGAATAGGTAATGTAATATAGTTGGGGAAGAAGAGGCAACGATTGAGCCGGGTGGGAGCATACTGCACAAGATTGTAAACTAAAGATGAAGGAATTAGGCCAGTCTTTCAAGAGCTGTCTGAGAATTTCCTATAAATGAAGAAGAAGCTAGAGGATTCCACATATTTGCAGCTCACAATAGCATTTTTCCTTAATTTATGTTCTGAGTCATAGCTGGAAAATTTTGTGAAACATCTTTTTCTTTCGTCTTTTTCAATTCGTCAGTTCAGTGAATGTGCCAATGGACAGGAACGAGCGAGCACATTCGGAAGTGCGAAGCCGCAGTTATACAAACCTGAATCTGCAGGAACCATCGATTGAGAGAGCTAGAACTCAGAGTCCTCAACCTCGCGAACCCCCTAAGCCTGTTGAAACTCCGCCCACAAGTCGAGCAGCCCGTAAGTCCGTAGGCGAAGAGAAACGAGTTAGGTATGTATTGAATACAAACTTATAGCTCAAGCCGGACAGCATAGCTAACTCTGCTGCTTTCGAACTTCTCTGTTTGAATATAACTAAATACTCCGTTCCTTGTTGCTCTAACTATAATAGTTTAAAATGGCTAGTCACACGCTGGTGGTCTCAAAACTTTTTTTAGAGCAGACAACCCTCCACCGCTGCCCAAAACTCAACCTCCATCTATCAACGAAATTCCGCCATCTCCAAAAACATCTATTACCACACCTTACACGTTCAATAAAGTGAATATACCTGAGACGTTCCGGTAAGACCACCAAATTCATTTGATACTTTTTGCTTCTCTGATTTTCGCTGGTTCAGACCTAAAAGTCCCGTATCTTCTGGAAGAACATCACCATCGCCGTCGCAGTCTTCGGCTTCAATCCCTTCGCCGTCATCCGTATCTCCCGGCAGTACCTCCCCAGAAACCCCTAGGAAACGATCAACTAATCCAGCGTTCGACAAGGTTTGCGGACTTCCAAATTACAGAGTGAAAAATGCGACTGACGTTTGCTATCTTAGGCTAAAGAGAAGTTCTCTGGTTGTTTGGAGACACCATCAGCTTCAAGTCGCACGACACTGACGAAGGGACGGAGTGCAAGCCCAATAGGAAGTAACGAGACGTCGAAAAATACGTCGGACGTCAAGAAGGTGGGAATACTGTTAAAGGCACTGTTCACGATGATTCAATGGGCGGGTGTGTCGATGACGTGTCCGCCTCTCATTCGANNNTCGAATGAGAGGCGGACACGTCATCGACACACCCGCCCATTGAAACATCGCGAACAGTGCCTTTAAATAAAATTTTAATTGGGAACTTCATGGATATCCTTTACTCAGGAGTTTTCACACATAGCATTGGCCTCCTTCCCGAATCATTATTATTAGCGTCCTGAAGCAGTACTATTAAAAATTAGCTGAAGTTATTATCAGGTGTTGCTTTTGGCTTTCCATTTTCCCTCAGGCTTTTGTTGACACGCACTCAATGCTACCTTTCCTATCCCTCACAATGTGTTTGTGAATCTACTTGGCACAACTATAGCAGGCAAGAACACATCATAAACAAACGAACAACAAACAAACACGTACAGCATCCCGCTATCCCATCACCGTTTGACGACTTCCCCAAGATTCTCAAGTTTGGCAGCAATTGCTCAGCTTCTGTGTCCTTATTTATCAAGTTGTTTCCCTATGACGGTTTACGTTTGATATCCACAGGCGGGACACGAGGTTTTTGGAAGGCTGACAAGGGATAGTCGTCGCTTACTAGGAAAACTTATGGCGGATTTGAGAGACAAGTCAAGAAATGTACGAGTTTTCCTGAATATCCGTACCATTGGTGGTCTTTCGTACGAATAATTGTCCCCGACGGACAATTAGACAAGGGATGAGTTGTATCAACAACTTACTTTATCCTTCATCATCATATTCCGTTCTATCTATTTCATTTCTTTCATCTATTCCATCAAGTGGAATGAATCAAAGCCCTTCATAGCAACGCAAAGGGGCTCTGGCAGAAGTTTCGAAAAGATTCAGATTTGAACAGTTTGAGTTAAACTGAAGTTTTTTGTGATTGATTCGCCCCCATTTCTTGATTAACATTATTATGCGAAACCTCAGGGTGTAGGTGATGTATAGGCAAGTGGCGTACTATCACACAAGCATGGTCACGGGTTCGAATCCTGTATCGATTTTGGGAGGGCATGCCAATATTTTCTGGTATGGTAGGAAAGCTTGGTTGTTTTTAGCAGGTATCGAGTCGGATTTCATTAAGCAGGCAATGCAACACAGCTGTACACCGCGGCTCTATCTTTGCCTCCGATTACTTTTACAGTAGAAACTTAGAAAACGTCCTGAATCCTGCCCTTTAGGCCACCTACGACCAAAAAAGGGAGCTTTTGATGTTTTAACTGGGATCCGTGTACGAATAAGGGAAGCAGCACTCGCGACCACTGTTTTGACCTTTGTTAATCTTCTTTTCATTGTTATCACATCATGTATTATTTCATGTAAAGCTCAATATTTCTTTTTTTCATAGTGAGTATTTTAGCGTGCGACACCTCGTCGATTAGTGTGAACAGGTAAAGTAGGCATGCAGTGTTCAAGTGTTTCTTCCGTCCGAGTGCTCACTAACTGAGTGCCGTCCAATAATGTCTAGATTGTGCTGATTGGAAAAAATAACACCCTTATTACAGCAGCGAGTGATCAACGTGCCCATATCCGCTCCATGGTATCATCGTTCGCTATCTTCCTCGGAAGCGTCAGAAACGGCACATGCTCGTAGGGTGGGGTAGCTACGAATCTTACTACTCTTCAGCTCTCATAAAAGTATTTTAGGTAGTCATTGGCATGGATTCATTTTCCTCGTTGGATCCGGACACATTTCGTCGCAATTACAGATTCAACATTGACTTATCAAGCGACTCGCCTTTGTCGATCGTGAACAGGTAGTGAGCGCGATGTCATCGAGCATGACTTCGCGTCGTTGTTGTTCGAGTGTGTGAGCTGTCCGCGGGTTTGCAGCATCGCCTCGTTGTCCCATTGCCGTCTCCGGTTCTCTCCATCCTTTTATTTTCCTAACCCATTGCTGTGTTTATGGTAGTTAATTCTGTACAGAAAATCGTCATCATGCCCAAGACAGCTGACACTTGTAGCCAAATGTGTGCTTTCGCCTATATGTTTTTTTATTGATTTTCATTCAATTTACTTTGCATATTGCATAGAGCTGATTGAATTAATCGTTCGACGTTCGAACTCTCCAGATTTCTGCATTGTAATCAACGCTAATCTCTTCGCTAGTCATTCATTCGCATGTTCCATCTGAATAAATTATGTACTTACATTTGTATTGAAGGGGAATAAATTAGCCACGCAGTTAACTATGAGCGGATAAGATAAGACTATTGAATACAATATATAAGCCGTCGACGTCGCAACCGAGTAATGTCGCTGTCCAAGATAATTGCAGAACAATTTATTAGTAACGACGAAACAATACAGAACGGGTAAAAACACAACAAGTAAAAGGGAAGCAAAGGTGATCGACCCCACGTTTGGTCTTTTATACACGTACTAGGCGGGAAACCCTTTCATACCACCCCGGATACAAAGTCCGGGGTGGCCCGTATTAGTCGTGAAGCCCCCACTTCAAGGTTCACTACTCAAGGATCAATAGTTCAGGGATCAAGGTTCAATATTTAACTTCGTCAATTTCGAACTCGCGTTCCGCGATAGGGAATTCAGAAGGGAACGACCAGGGAGTTCTGGACAATTTTTCAGGCAATTCTAGTTGAAAGGGAATGAGGGCAACGCGAATTGGGAGGTCACTCTCCCAAGAGCTGTAGCGCTGCGACTCTTTCCTAAATGGTCTTCTGTCTTGCGCACAAAAGTAATGATAGATGAGTAAAATCGACATCTTGTACTTGTTAGCATTATCTGCTTACATTTCACGACAGCAGCTCGCCCAGTAAACAACAACAAACTATACAGCAACAAACCAATATTTTCCTCTACCCGAAGTTCTGGACATGATCTGGTCACAGCGGTTACTTTGCCTTCATTTCATAAGCCATATGCAAAATTGTATCAGTTTTACGTTCTGTTTATTAATGATGATCGTACATCTGGCTAATCACAACAATTACTACTCTCAAGCAAAACGCAAGTCCCTGCGTAGTGCTTACACTTCTTTTCACCTTAAAGCAGATGTCCTTCAGTGCTATGAGACTCAAATGCTAGTCCCCTATGCACAGTCACTATGCTGTTTCTAACCACTATTATAGCCTCAGCGATTCCAAGCGAGGATTTGAACTACCCGTTGCCATCTGCCAGATTGCCGTACATATACGCTAGAACTACATGTCACGAATGGGAGCCTTTCGAGACCGAAGAATTTTTCGTTCGGGATAATGTTTCGCCTTTTTTTCCTCTTCAGAGCTTACGGTGGGCAGTTGCACTCTGCACTAATACTCTACCCTTGAAATGTTTCCATGAAAAGCGGTATAAAAATTCACTTTCATTTTCAACACTAATACGTAGGAGCGAGTAGCGTATGACAGTAAATTGATCAAATTATAGAACCCCGCAAAATCCCTTATCTAAGGAGCGGAGGGGAATGGGGGAGGGGGAGAGAGAGGTTCGTTATGCTATTTTTCTTATTATTTGAAGATCCCAGGAAATGGTCCGGAACGTATTTGAGAACTTGGGGGACGGTACATTCGTGGCGACTCGAGCGACTCTGGCGCTTATTACCGGGGCACAAACTTGAAGAAGAGTACATTTGCATTAGTATGGGTCCGGGAACATCTCCCCGAGGACGGCGTTGCGCACGCCGCACCCGCCGCGTATCGCAGGATTGCGATGGAAGATCGGAGCGCGC